GGTCTTCATATATTGAAATCAGTAGTTATTAGGAGTGTGAGAGTAGCGGATAGCAACCTTTGACTATATATGGAGCGACTGAGAAATTTATTCCAGGAAAATAATTAGCCATTGAGCCTAATTCATAATATTATTTCTTTAATGAGAAATAAATTTTAAGAGTCAAAGATAGACAACCTGATATCTGTTCTCACGTCTTAATTTTGCCATCATGCCTTCTTTCTAAGAAGATAGGTGAACTATTGATAAAGTGGGGATAAAAGCAGTATTCTAAGAAACCATGGCACTTTCTTCGGTTATGCAATATTTTAGAGAGAAACATGACTCATTATCGAGATCCCGCTGCTACAATATTATGTGCTCTCATGCTGGACCTTATGATGATGAGAAATGTCGGTAATATTCATTAAAGATTAGGTGAACATAAAAATATTTTTAAAGGTAGCTGGGTTAAACAATCAAGTGTCCGAAAACATAGCAGAGACAAAACATGAGATATAATGATCTCAAGCAAGTAGGTATGCTGATTATGGTAGACCTGTAGTTAAAATGAAGATAAGAGATGCTAGTTAAATTAATAGATTATGGAACAAGCTGAATTTAAGGAACCGTGGTAAAGATTGAGCAAGAAATGCGTATGCTTGATTGAAAGATTGAAAAAGAGGATGTTGAGTCGCTATCCAAAAGAAGGCGACTGAACTTGTCAACCAAGTGATGGTTATAACATCACTCACACTCGTCCAGCATTTAGATTAAGCTTATTAACCAAGCCAGATGTACGAGATTATGCAGTCTCAGTCGTGTCTTTCCTTGGCATGTAAAACCTTAATGACCCTAGACTGAGAGGTTATGACACGTGGTTTCGTAACGCATACAAGCTTACATTTCATGATCTCAACCAGAGTTTCTTACAACTTACGCAGTCTAGCTCAGGGTTTTTTCTTGGGTCATTAGGTCTTGAAAACCCGAGTCTGGCATGAGGCTTTATTAATCACTTTGATTTACGACCAATATTGCGTAGTCGTTATAAGAAGCAGAAACACACATACTTAAGTAAAAGTACTATGAACAATATGAAGGGGAATTAGCCAAAGCATGTTTATACATTTTCATTAATAGTTAAGTATATAAAAAGAGCAACTTACATACAAATGAAAGTCTACCTAACAGAATATATATCAAACGTAACTTAGAGCCGGACAGTATTCTCAATCTAGTGTTAACCTGAGAAGTTTACAAGAATGCATTTCAGCTCTGATGATGTAGGTCTAGCCCGTTTTAATCGGAAACGAGGAAGGATGTCTCGTAAACCAAATATTAAAGCCAACAAGCTGCAGTACAACGGTAATCAGCCGTCTTCTTCTGATGAAATCGACTTTCGAATCACTTCATAATGCACTTTCATACGAAATTAAAGTCTTCCTAACAATGTTAGATTAAGGGGTTCATCAAAACTCAGTAACACTTCGCATCTGTAAAATAATAGTGTAGTTTGCATTACCTCACCTCGATCTGTGCACCCTGTAAATACTGTGTTTAAATCCCTACTTCATGGAACACTTTAAGTTCAAACATTTATATTATGAGCCAACCACCTAGAAATGGAAAAAAAATGAATCAAATGACCTTAGTTTTCACTTATAAAAAATAAATAGATATGGTCGTAGATATCAAGACCAAGATGGTGTGGCCTGCTGTTTAGTCGTAGTCACGTTTGGCTTTATAGGATTGGTTTGACCTCGCTATCGCAAAGTAGACAAGCGACAGGAAGACCTTGTTGAACATACCTAGTCCTACGTCTTTTGTCACAGTATTCGCGATTTCCAGCATCGGTACATTCCCAGACGTTTCGCCGGCAGCGTCAGTGAGAGGCGACATTGTTAGGAAAGAGCTACGAATGATCAAAGTGACAACTGACGGCAATGCCCTTGTCACTTTGATAAGTACAGGACAAGGTACGTTCTACAAGGTCTCCCTGACGTTCCGACCAAATTGCGAAAACGAGGCCAAACCAGCACCAAACAAATATGTTTTTCCCAGATACTCGATATGACAAGGGCCAGAAACCAAACAATGAACACAAAAATGTGCGATGATCGAATTAGGTGAAGAGATCTGAGAAAGAACAAGCCAATGACTCTGAGAGGTACCGTATTTTCCGGCGTATAAGACGACTGGGTGTATAAGATGACCCTGACTTTTACAGTTAAAATATAGATCTTGTAAGGAGGTAAGGGGCATAACGTGAGCTCGGAACCATAGTATAATTAGCGATCCCTAGACTACACTCGGCGTATAAGACGACTCCCCACTTACGGGCAGAAATTTATGGTGTGAAAAGTCGTCTTATACGCCGGAAAATACGGTACATTAGCATACAAGAGAATACTCAATAACCGAGAAGGTTCTTTATAAAATAACCTAATCCGGATAAAACACGATCAAGTTTGAGCAGAACACGGACCTTGCTGCTAGGCCGTACTGAGGTCTGTTTTGCGGTTCCAACTTCCCAGGAAAGTAGAATATTATTGATAACAAAATGCCATGAATTCGCTTTGTGAAAAGTCCAAAAACAAGTCCTCTCAGAGAAATTTCGTCACACTTATAGCAGAACAGCGTCACTTCTTCTCCGGAATAGTCAATCATTTCTTAAGAAAGGAAAAGTTGAAGTTCTCTGTGCCAAAAGGTTAGCAAAATATCGGAAAGGTCATGATTCCAATGTAATCGGACGATGTGAACCAAGAGGAAGTAAAGTAGAAAAGTTACTGGAAGGGATGAAGACCAGGATGGTGTGAGTTTTTGTATGGTCGCGGTCTCTTTTCGTTGGATAGAACTTGTTTTCATAACTTGGTCATATTTTCAGGAAGACCTAGATGAACGCACCTGGTCCGAATGCATGATAATTTCTAAAGTCGGACCGTGGACTCGGTACATTTCCAGGCGTTTCGTCGGCATCGTCAGTGAGTCTTGTCATTCTATGCACCAAGCTACAACTCGTCAAAAAGACAAGTGAAGTCAAGTTCTTGACCAATTTTCTGTTGAAACGGTTGTTCTATCACTCCTTCTGCTCTGGCCCCTTTATCTCTTTCCTATCCTCTGGTCTCACTCGTCCAATCATAACTTCTGACATGTTTATATTCCACAAGAGGTGTGCGAATTTAATGCTTGTAGTGAAAGAACAATTATCGGATGGCATAGAAAATACAAATGATAGATGCTAAGTATTAAAGATTTTAGGTAAAATTTTGTAAAAAAAAGATGTACTGCTTAGAGCAATATAGATAGTGTAGCAGTAGTGAGAAAAAATGAATTCGTGCGAATAATAATAATTCTAAGAATGTATTAAATATATGAGCAATAAAAACGAATGTAATAACAAATTTAGCATTTGCTATGCTAAATGGAATTTGCCCTCAAAAAAGTTTATAGTGTGCTGACCTGAAATAATGATTTTTCTCATTCCCCTTAGCATAAATTATGTAGAAGCTAGGATAGATTATTGGGCTTACTTCTATTTCAAGTAGAAGTGTTGGGTGAAGAGATTCGAAGGTCGGTTCCACCAAAAGACGACGGCGAATTCCTCTTGAACAGCTGTCGATTGGCTTTAGTGGAAGTTTCATGCTGACGCTGTCGTCTTCTGGTGGAACCGACCCTCGAATCTCTTCACCCAAAACTTTTACTCGAAATGGAAGTAAGCCCAACAATTATGAAACAAGAGATTCCTCGAAACGCAACTTTTCTTCGTATATAGGATAGATTAATTTGGTAAACGGAAAAATAGCTAACATGTAGACAGATTAAGAAAAGAAAAAAGTTTAATACGAAAAAACAAATGCAAAATATAAGGTTAAGACGACAAAATTGTGTTCCATACTTCCGATATATAGAAAAAAAATGTCAAGGCATTGAGGTCGTCATGATATGTAATAAAATGGATGCAGAAATCGAATTTTTGGTTCGACCGTGATTAAGTTCAACTATTAGTCATGTCGGCCTTGATTATGTCATTGCCCAAATCCATGTTATCTGCCAAGAAGCTACTACTTTGGCGTGGGATACCAATGTGATAAAGGGAGATCAAGGACGATGAAAGATAAATGAAAATTTTAAGGTAGAGAAATCCAAAGAGGTTGAAATAAATAAATAGGATTCATTTGACTGTTTTCGTAACTTGTTCATATTGTCAGGAAGACATAGAAGAACACAACTTGTTCGTATGCATGATAATTTCCAGAGTCAGACTGTGGACTTGGTACATTTCCAGACGTTTCGCCGGCATCGTCAGTGAGTCTTGTCATTCTCAGCATAAAGCTACACCACGTCAAAGAGACAGGTTAAGTCAATCCCTTGACCAACTTTCTGTCGAAACGGTTGTACCATCACTCCTCGTTCTGACCTGGTCTGCTGTCCATTTCATGCCCTCTTGTCTCGCCCTCGTCCGATCACAAGTTCCGACATGTTCATATTCCACAAGAGGTGTGCCATTTTGGCGAATTCAGTGGCCTTGCTCCCCTCCCTTCCGAGTGGCTGATCCGATTCGAGCCTCCTGCCCGGATCCGCCTCATGGGCCCTGGGATCCGTTTCTTATCCTTCTGGTTGGCCGACTTCACTCGGTTCCAGCTCCACTCTACTTTTACTCCATAAGCCATTTCTTAAGCATTCAGTAGCACGTGCAATATCGGCTCATCCGCAGAGGACAAATCAGGAGCGACAGTTGTAATGGACAGGAAACAATATACCAAGAAAATGGAATGTATACTGTAAGACAAGAATATGTATCGTCTTTCATTACGACTACATTATGAAGATAGGCAAACTGAGGAGCATGATCAGGCTACGATTAAAGGATGTGGAATTCTGCGATGAAGAATTGGAAAAATTGACTTGTATATTCTTCGCTAACGGATACCCGAGAGCAGTAACACAAAAAAACATACTGACCATGAAGCGCCGAGGGTGAGGATGTTTCTGAAATGAAGCGTAAACGTTCTCAGTGAGTGTAGTCAGCTCGAATAAACAGCTACAACTTTGGGGGCCTGACGTTACACGTGACTAGGGAGATGGAGTGTGCCACATAAAATGAGCATTATGGCCAATTTGACTGATTCTCCACTCGAGATGCAGCAGACGATCAGAGATAGATGTCCACAGTTTGCTCAACGTACATGGGTTTAATCAAGAAAATGATGCGTGAAGGCAATGCCTAATATATCTGCAAGCATGGCAATCAGAGCCTAGGCGCTCGGCGGATTAGCTGACATTGTAGGTTCTACTGAAGACTAAAGAAATGAAATCTGGAGCAAAAGCATACTGGGCCTGGAACCGAGTGAAATTAGTCAACCAAAAAGATAAGAAACGGATCCAAGGGCCCATGAGGCAGATCCGGGCAGGAGGCTCGAGTCGGATCAGCCACTCGGAAGGGAGGAAAGCAAGGCCACTGTGAATTCGCCAAAAGGGCACACCTCTTGTGGAATATGAACATGTCAGAACTTGTGATCGGACGAGGGCGAGACAAGAGGGCATGAAATGGATAGGGAACCAGGTCAGAACGAGGAGTGATGGTACAACCGTTTCGACAGAAAGTTGGTCAAGGAGTTGACTTAACCTGTCTCTTTGACGCGGTGTAGCTTGTTACTGACGATGCCGGCGAAACGTCTGAGAATGTACCAAGTCCACGGCCTGACTCTGGAAATTATCATGCATACAAACAAGTTGTGTTCTTCTATGTCTTCCTGACAATATGGCCAAGTTGCGAAAACAATCGAATGACTTCTTGGAAGGTAAATGTTAAGACTTTGTCACATTAAATAATAAAGATTATAGGGAAATAATACAAATGAAACAAAGGCATAAACTTCCTTTTCCCAAAACTTTACCTGAAATTCACGTAAGATTACGGGGCTTGTTGACTCATTTGCAAGATTACAGAGGATTTCCACCTTCACCAATTTTACCTGCGTCGAGTCGCTTGCATGTGAATAAAAACAGCGAAGGTAGGGCTCAAATAAACCGGGTTGGACAATGCTCATGGTTGCGATGTTGGAGAGCACGACAAGCTGGACCTCTCTGATAAAAAGAAGAGAAAGAACAAGGCAAGCGAAAAATTTCAAAAACCAATAGAATTGGGCAAGTGACAAATTTCTATATATTCCTATATTCACACTAGGTCAAACGAGCTGATGAGGGACTAATAATTTAACTTTCCACACTCATATGAATATGGTGTATGATTCAAATAAACTATATTTAGTCTTGCATCCCAAAAGGTATTCTCATCCAGGCAGAAGTGTACTGCAGTTTCAACCTCGCTTTGGTATTATCAGCACCATCAAAAAGCTAGTGGTGGTGCCGAAACACAATCTATTCGAATATAAGTAGCACAGCCTATTGTAACGGCATATAAGAGTTTGCATTATCATCCCATTACAAAAATGTGATATGGAAGAAGCTGGGCTTACCTTGAGGGTCGCATCTTACCCACGACTCACTGGCACGAATTGCAGAGACATCATAAAGCCTGCTCACACAATTTTCGTTTATCCTATTATGAGACTTAAGTTGAATACATTTCTTATTCACGATCTAACGAAGGTATTGAAACCTACTCAGTATGCAAAGAGTTGGATCAGAAGCTTCTGGCAAGGTAAGAAGTGTAGTGCCTTCTTGCGCCTGGAGATGGCATAACAGAGATGGCGATTCTTAATGCAAGCAAAGTTAGGGTAAACTTCAAGAAAGTAAGAGACAAAGAGAGCATTTAGCCGTGATAATAGAGAATTGACGAGTGTCCGTGAAGATTCAGTTGTATGGTTGGCTGAATACAAGATAACTGTGTGAGTTGCGTAAGGCAGCGGTAGTAAGTGGAGTTAAACATGCGAAAGGGAGTGTGGCAAGCGCCATTGCTTCATGAAAATAGGATATGCAATTTACAGCGTTGCACGTGTGTACAATCGAATTTAAGGGCTAGTGTAATGGTACATAAGGAATAACTACCCTTTTGTGGGGATATATGGAGAAGAAGTGTGAGGCAAGTCGCTATGTGATCGAATGGAGACGACTAGATATAAATCTGAAAATTGACAAACAAAACTAAAAATAAAAAGATAATAATCTTCAGAACAGGAAGGAACAAGCAGATGATGCATGATTTAGTTAAGAGTGTCTCTAAGTGAATTATATACATTTAGACGAAATCGATAACGAAAATAGAAATTAAATTAACTTATTCATAAAGTTAAGGATTGCCTAACTGACCGAATATTCCGGAGCTATAAAGGTAGCAGGTATGAGTGACGGATTATATTTCAATATCAACAAATCAATTTCACCAACAGACGTTCGTTTCCATCGTTTTAACCAAGCAAATTAGTCAAACTTCTGATTATAAAAGAATGAATAAGTATACAATTTGAGGTTGATTTTTTATTTGCATGATAGCCAAGATGTCCACGATGAAATAAAAATAGGGCATAATATTGGAATGAAAGTTCACTTTAAAGACATTCAGAAAAGCGGGGGTTCGAAGAATTTCTTAAATATGTGCTGCGACATGACTTCCCATTTCGAAGGAAAAGTTGGTTGGAAGGAATTCATGGTGTGGTCTCACCGGTAACCGAAAGAGGATTATTGTGTAGGAAATACTGTTGAATTGTGCGAAAAAGTCCTCGCCTCACCGTCCTGCGACTCCGATGAAACTGTGCTAAGCTTTCGTCTGTACTGTGACAAACATCATCAGAGCAGGTATCCGTACTTCAAGTAATGGGGAAAAAATATGCAAACCAAGAAAAAAGGTCGTCGGCTGCAAAGCTAGTCGCTTTTTTATACGCCTAACTTCGTGATCCTAATGAGGTATCCCATGATTTGGTTGGCTAGCTCAACCTTACTCTACATGCTTGCAAATGAGTGAAGTTACTTCCTGAACCGTAAGTGGCAGCTGTTTCGTTATACAAATAAACTAGACTGGTCCAAAACACAAGGTTTTGCGCGTTGCATGGACTTTACGTCAAAGCGTAAGATTTGGCAGTCTCTATAAATTAACAAAACAGCCAACATTCTGAATAGGAATACGGAGTAGGGACTATTTGTGGCTGTTGGATAGGCTTAAGGAGGAAATGAGAGAGAGAGGGGGTGCAGGAAGAACCACTGAACAAGAGGAGGCTCAATTAGCCTCGAGTCCCATAACATTAGCACTACATACACACAATATACAATAGCACTAGCTCAAACGTGGTTCGCTATTAGACGAACGTACACTAGAAGTAAATTGACCTCGTTGTCGCAACTTGGTCTTGTTGTCAGGGCGACTTAGTAGAAGTCGTCTGCCATAGTAGTTGTCATGATTCCCAACATCAGACAGTGGACTTGGTACATTCGCAAACGTTTCTACAAATCGAAAGGAGACTGCGACCATACCAGAGGCCACAACCTCTTGGTTTTCATATCTTCGATCGACACTAGTCTATTTGTGTAAGGAAACTGCAGCCTCAGAACACACTTCCGATTCGGAAAGTAACTTCACTCACTTCCAAGTGTGTAAAGTTTGAAGTAACCAACCAAATCATTGTATACTCCCTTAATAACGCGAATTTAGGCGTCTAAAAAAGCGACTATGGCTTTAACGGGCCACCTTTTCTCTTAGTTCACATAGTTTTTTTCTCTATTTCGTGAAGTAGGGAAACCTGCTCTGATGCTGTTTGTCGCAGTACAGCACGGTTTCATCGGGGTCGCAGGGAGGCTAGGCGAGGACTTCTTCGCACAATTCAACAGTCTTTCCTACACAGCAATCCTCCTTCGGTTCCCGGTGATACCACAGCACGAATTCCTTCCATCCTAATTTTCCTCCTCATGTCACAAATATCACTTAACCTACCGACATTCCCTCCAAAACTGATGTGATCCGGAAGAGGCTAGTCTTGTTTTGAAATTTATGCTTGTTGTGTAATACAATGGAATTAGGGTCGTGTGACCCAGGCAGTAATTTTTTTTTATGCCCACGGTTTGAATCCTTCTTGGAGTGCTGATGAGATGATGAGGTGAAGTTGAAACTGCAGTAGAATCTGGATGAAAACAGCCTTTTGAAGTATATGGTAAAGTGAAATTCGTTGATTAAATCAACATTTATAGATTTGCTCTCAATAGCATAAAATAACGGTCTAAAATGAAATATCTAGTCCTTCTCGTAACACCTGAATAGTAAAGATATTAAGCTTTTGCTATCAACAAAATGAAGACCGTGACTAGTGACTGGAATATCTTGCTAGTTAGGCCAAGTTAGTCCTATGATTAAAACTCTTTGATTATAATTTACAATTTTGTCAAAATGAGTATAATATGTGTTACTTAGGGGCACGAAGAACTAAGGCATGCATGGATAAATACATGTTTCTGAGTCCTTGTTACAAACATAAGAATGTTCTAATTTATCCATTTGTGTATCACAAATATTACATAGTTATAAAGATGGATTATAGCATAAAAATTATGACTTATTTGTCGTAGCTATAAAGCTGACCAGACATATGCCTGTCTCGAATTTGTAATGACTCAATGACACTTAGGCAGTGTGTTTGAGATATGTTTCACTGCTCGATTCACAAAATCCGGTAGCGAATCCCTGGGGGTGCAGATTTGACCTGTATTTCTAGTACAACCAGGGATAAACATAGATCATAATAAATTCAGGAGAAGTGAAGCTCTGCCTCCCTCGTCGTTGGCGTCTCAATTATCTAGCCTTGAAATAACCAGAAATAACCAGATATTATACTCAATTATTCCTGATTGAAACACAAATACAACTCTCGTGCATTAATTTAACGTAATTTAGGAAAGTATTCATTTCAAAATGGACAGTTCAGTTGTGATTTAAGGCCAATGCGACCTCATGACTAGTGATGAATACAGTTTAAGTGTAAAAAAAAATTGATTTACTCATTTTTAAGCTCATAAGCGAATGGAGAATATAGAAGCAAACAGTTTAGGACTATAATATCAGCTCAGATAATAAAACTAGGAATTAGAGGATAAGAGGAAGAGCATGTGAGAAGAAATAGCTGAACTACATACTTGTTTGAGCGGATCAGCCGACAAAATGCCTTGGCAACACTGGGAAGTTCTTCTTTGGGTCCACAGTGAAAAAACAACTGCCCGACTGATACAACCACCTAAAGCAAAAAGATTGTCAAATATTTATTAAAAAATATAGGGGAGATCTAAGTTCTGATGTTAAACAAGAGTATGACAATGGAAAAGCTTTAGGTTTTTGAATTATAGCACTCAAAGAATAAAATTCACACGAATTAAGCATTAGTATATGATTATGATCATTCGATCAGGTTGTGTTCAGCATTTCCCTCCTATTTTCTGCGTATAAAAAGGGTAGTGTTCCTCCAGTATGACAATAATCACCGAGCACAACGAATCCAATAGATTTAGCAGTGGCTTACATGGGTTTGTTGAAAGAATCAATCAACCGTAAAACAGCGAACAATAGAAATGAGTAGCGATATTTGGTAAAAATATTATTATCATACCAGGTAAGACGATTAAGTATGACTTACAATCGCAAAATTGGATATGCTTAACAAATCAGTTTGTAAACAGCAGCTCCCTCAAGAAGGGACTTGACGGTGACCAACTAGACAATGTCTGCTTGCAAACGAGCCTGGTCTCACTGACATTCATCCCTTAACTACGATCCGTCTGCTATCTTCCTGGTTCATGTAGTTCTCTCCACCCCTGCCACCCCATCTGTGCTACTCTAGGCATTATTTCCCACAATTTGCGTCTGGGAGACTAGCTTGAGACTAAAGTCCCCGAGTAATTCTAATGGTCAAGCCTTTGCTTCATGGACCACGTCTACGAAAAAACAGGCCTACTGTCAGCCCACTAGCTCCAAGCTCCGCCTCGTCTATCCTGTTTATACCGAAAAATGTTGTGGTACTGCTTGATTTGATTAGGTTCAATGTCGAACCACAACGTTTGTGGGTTGGCACACAAGAGGCTAGGGCTGAGGAGACTGGAGCTGGTTGGCTGACAGTAGGCATGTTGTACCATAGACGTGGTCCATGAAGCAAAGGCCTCAAGTTAGTCTAGCAGACGCAGAGTGTGGGAAATAACACCTCGTGGAGCAGATATGGGGTGGCAGGGGTCGAGTGAAATACGTGAACCAGGGAGATAGCAGACGGATCTAAAGGGGCAAAAGGGAGACTGTGATAAGAGCTATGGAAGGATGACTGTGTAACAATATGACAAACTCTGATCAACATTCCCTGCACAAGGGTGAAGCGGGATGTGAACGCCAGCGTGGAGTGTGGAGGGGTCTTATGAAAGCCACTCAAAATGGCACACCACACTAGATTTCAATAAGCAAGGGAAAAAATTGTAACATTGAAGGTGTGATAGGAGAATATAGGAAATGTGAATAGCCCAGGGCAGAAGGGGAGATACCACAACTGTTTAGCACACGTTTGGTTAAAGGATCGGGTTCACTTTTCTCTTCGACGAGTTGTTGTGTGGTGCTAAGAATGGCGAGACTCACGTCTGGAAATGTACCAAGTCCACGGTCCGACTTTGCAAATGATCATGCATACAATGGACTCCAGACTAAGTGCGTTTTTCTAACTTTTCCTACCAATATAATTAATATGCGAAAACAAGGTCAAACAACTTCTAAAAAAACTATCGTTTTAAGCTAAGACTTACGGGAACTTAGCCCGTACTGCGTTGTCTGCCACTTTTTTCATGTTTTCGTTCATAAATAGGGTCTCTAGACTACCAAATATCTGATATAATTGTTTTCATGTGTTTTTTCATTAACCGAATTTTGATTGGGTACATTTCCAGGTGTACAGCCGGCAGCTTTTGTTGTAATTATCAGGCCAGTGTCAGACTTGACAGCGAGCTGGAACACGTAAAATGTGTGACTAGTCTTTTCATGAGATGCCGGTAGTGTTCAAAGGAAAATATTCATTTGCATGTCACTTTGGTGATTTGTGGCTCGGTATTATGGATGGCGCTCCTCAGTGACTATGCCAAAGGAAAATCTGGAAGAGCCAAGTGAACAAGCGGATGCTCGAAGAGGACGGAGTGCGGAGTGCGTTCTTCCAGAAAACAGGACCATAGCGAGAGCAAGAGACTAAGCCAAATCCATGTAGCAAAGGGAGACTGCGACCAAGCAAAGGGCAACAATATCTTGGTCTGCATATATAAAATATCTAGTATTGGTAAAGAGAGAAAAGACTCAAGCGGAACAGGTGGTATGCAGAAGCCTGGTGGGGAGTACAGTGAGACAAAAATCGAAGCGATACCAATCTTCGTTGGGAAGGTACAGGAACACTATAAGGGGATTGATTGGCAGCAAAATAAGAGTGTGCAATCTCGTAAGAACCCACAAAGTGCTGGTCGCCAAACACAAATCAGGAAAGATTGACAAATAAACAAATCTAACCAGCTAAGAAAGGTAATTATTGCAAGTGGCTAATAAATGACGATCACAATTAGAGCATACCAACTACCAGAACTCAACCTCGTGAGGTTATGAGTTACATAATTATAAATACTTGTTTTCGAGCAAACTCATTAAGAACATTCGATAAATCTTCTGAGATAATACTTTTAAAGAGGCCTTCATTCTGTCAGGAAGAAGAGATTCGTAAGTTGATCTCGCCAGAAGATGACGGCTAAATCCCGTTATACTGTAGCCGTTTGGCTTTAATACTATGTTTATGTTGACGAAGTTTCCAAGTCATCCTCTCTCGTTTCGTGTGAATACGGGGTGACCTCTCGTCCATCATTGATTGACATCGCCATAGCTGAAAATCATTCTTTTAAAAGTCACACATTATCACTTGGTCAATAAGTCTATCCGGCTCTACCTTACTTCTTATATAGACTCAATTAAGCAAAATAAAATTTAAAGGCATGGAGAGATATATAATTGTATGGCTAATTATCTTTCGTTTGGTCCCGCTACTTTTGCTCGTGTGTGTGTGTGTGTGTGTGTGTTAACGTAGATGTGCCGAATAGTTGAAACCAGTAGTATATAGAAGCTCAACCGATAAGAAGATAAAAACTCAGGTAGAAAGAGACCCTTGATGGGAATAACTGAATAAAATCTGCTGTAACGCACTCCTTATTGAAATCTAGGCAGAATGGCTAGAAAATATACCATTTTCTATTGGCATGATTAGTTAGTGAGCACAATAGTCTAAAAAACCTAATACATTTTCGTTCACCTGATATTTAGGAATCTGATAAGTTATCTAATCAAATAAGAAAAAAATGATCTTTGTCAGTTAAGGTGACTTTTAAGGACTGATACTAAAATTTTCCCAGTTATACCTCGGAGAGAGAACTTCCACTTCCACCCTTACCTGATAGTTTAAAAACACATGCACACCAAATATGTGTGAAATTTCGCTATCGAAACAGAATAATTTTTTTTTTAAAACAATTTTTGTAAGATAAACAAAATTTTTTCGTTATTCTGCAAGTTTTGTTACTGTGCTACTCGTTATCTCGGAATATGACCTACATATCTAACTTAATGCTCCAAACAACTTTATCAAGTTAATCATAAGTTTGTACCGCAGAGTTCCTGCTGTTCAGAAGCGCACGACACGCACTGATCAACAAAGAGTAGTCTGATTGCAACGCAGCCAGTTGTTCCGGTGACGGCTGCCATCTCAAGGGTGTATCTCGTACAAGCCCACCGTTATTCGATCTCACAGGCTTAATTTCCAACCCCGACCCGAGACGGGTCTCGCCAGAACCCGGTCGACCTCGGCCAGACTTGACCGCGTGGCTTGCCGGCGTACCGAAGGCTGCTGTTTGACGCCGAGAAGAGGATCCAGCAGAGTTTGGGGCCTGCAGCGAAGCGGACAAGACAGCGGGGGCAGATTCGGCTTGGGAGTCGGACTCAGTCTCGGTTCCACTCGTGGAGATCCGGGCAGACTGGCCGATACCTGCGGAGGCCTCGGACTCCGAGTCGGAGGGCGTGAAAACAAGCTCAGATGGTGACCGATTCGAGCCAGACTCCAGGCTATGGTGACCGGGAGAGATGCTTTTTCCAGTTTGCGTCTAGAACGGTAATGAAAAGGTGAACATGAAGTTAGCAAAGCAGTTAAGGAAGTATGCATGAATGGGGAATCAGTGTGATCTAGTTCTAGCAAAACGGCCACAATACCAAGAGATTTGTCAACTTAAAGGGTTGTCAGTCACTCTGTAAGGAGTGAGCCTGGTCACGGTACGATTCTGGAGAAAAAGAGGACTAGACTGGCAAAAAGGTGTCTTCTAGTTGCATTCTTCAGAATGGATATGGTTGAATTGCGAAATAGAAGCCAACCCAAGTCTAAGCACAAAAGTAAAGTGAATATGAATAACATTCTATAAAAGAATATATCGAGTTCATAGGCAAAGCCCCCAAGACTGCTGCTAGTTGAGACGGACAACCTGTTTAACTCTAGGTCCTTCCATCCAGGGTTCATATATGGCAGATAAGACGATGAGGCAGAGTGGTCATTTCTGCACGAAAACGGCTTCCGAGAGTGCATTGCACAATGAATTTCTGCGCACAATCATGCTTGCAGCATCATACGAAAATCGTGCATATTTCCTATAACTAGTAGTCCCGATATAACCGAATAAGTGATCATTAATAATACAGATTAAAAACAAAATGAACGCCGCAAATACCAAGGAAAACAGTAGGAATTAGTCAGAAACAAGAAAGAATGTTTGGCAGGCCATTTTACATGAAATGTGCACAAAAGTTACGAGACAGGATTTGAATGCTACGACTGGTCCAACAATTCACTTCCAAGGCAAACGTCAAAATGAGCCCATTTTGCCGGAGCAATTAAAGAATAAAATAGAACCTGAATAGTTCGTGAGGGCAAATTCATCCTGATAGGCATAAGGGATTGTTTTGCATGGGTGAATATATGAAAACGGGTGGCAGTTCGTCCAGTTCTCGTGACAACGCTGAACGAGCCATGACACTCACTTGCAGCATGTGGTGCCACAATAAAGCGATTGCATTAATTGCCAACTAACGCCAACTAACGAACAAAAACTAAATGCAAAAGCCAATTAAGGAGGCATATGCGAAGAGTCGAGGGAAAAAAGGAAAGGAACGTATAGAAGTAGTTTGACCTTGTTTTGGCAACTTGGTCAAATTGGTAGGAAGACTTAGAGAAACGCACCTAGTCCGGAGTACATTGTATGCATGATCATTTCCAAAGTCGGATTGTGGACATGGTACATTCCCAGACATCGTCAGTGAGTCTTGCCATTCTTAGCGCAACACTACAACTCGTCAAAGGGACAAGTGAAGTTGATCCTTTGACCAACTGTCCTTCCGCCCTGGGCTAATCACCAATTCTATATCCTCGTATCACGCCTTCATTATCACAATTTTTAACTTGCTTATTTAAATGTGTAGATACGAAGAGAAAATGGGTTTCGATGAATCTCCTGAGATAACATTGTTGGTCGATCTCACCAGATGAGGAAGGATGAAACTCGTTGTACTGCAGCCGGTTTGATTGTATACGATATTCATGTTGACGCAGTCCACGGGACTTTCTCCCTCGTTTCGGGTGAAAACGTGCTGAGCTTTTGTCCATCATCAGAGCTGGGTGTCATTCTTGTAAGAGTCTCACGTGAACAACAGGGCAAGGAGATTAGCCGGCTCTATCTTACCTCTTATATAGACTTAGTTACGCCAAAAGAAAAGTTAAAATTAAAAACCTAGATGGATATAGAGTGGTTTAGCTAATTATCTTTCATATTTCTCCTGCTACTTTTGCTCGAGTGCATGCGTGTGTGTTAGCGTCAAAGTTAACAAAAGGTTAAAGTTAGGCTCTAATCATCAACGCCTAATGACCTCAAAGAAAGCCCTGACCGAGACTGCGTAAGTGCATAAGCAAGTATTATTGAGATAATGATATATGAGCTTGTAGGCATGTAAGTCAAGTTACGAAACCACTTGTCCTAACCTCTCGGTCTAGGGTCATTA